TAGCAGTTGCGAGATGTAGGAAGGAGAGGAAAAAGGGAGGCTTTTGTTTCTGGGGCATTGAGTTTCTGCCAATAGTGATGGAATATTTTAGAAGAGGATAGTAATAATGGTGGCACAACATGAAAAATGTCATCAATGTTCCTGAGCTGTAAATGTGGAAGTTGTTATGTTGGTGAATGTCTTGTATGTTTTTACCACAATAAAAGTAAAAAAGTAAAAATAAAAATGTAGAGCAAAGAAGGCCAAAAACAACCACAGGAGATCAGAAGGGCAGTATCTGTGTAGGGAGAAAGCTTAGAGGGCAGGAACACATAGGGAAGAAGGACACAGGGAAAAAGTAACCAAAGGGAGAAAGTGGGGAGAGAGCTGTCATACTGTAGGGATTGCAATCATTGTCACGAAACAAAAGTGTATGAACTGCTGAGTAGAAAGTGAATTTGCTCAAATCACAATTAAAAAAAAGAAAGGAAGAAAAAGAGATCTTTTGAAAAGATCAGTAATCAGAACTAGAACTAGAAAAACAAAGTTGTTAAATTTCTTAAGAATAATTATTTCCAACCTAAAAATTATATACCCAGCCAAGCTCTGAACCAAATGTAGGACAGAATAAAGACATTTTCAGACATGTAAAGACTCACACATTTCTCATTTTCAGAAAGCCACAGGCAGAAGTACTCAAGTGCTTCTTGATAAGGAGGAGAAAGATGTGGAATACAGGAGAGAAAAGCATTATCAGAATGACTATATTGAGAAATCCCAAAACCAACAACTACAGAGCAAGCTTAGGGGAAAGTGATCCAAACTGGAGTGTCATACAAGAGACTGGTACAGTAAGGACTATCTTCTCAAGATGCCCTTTGCCAATGTTCCCATCATTTGTATTCAACAATGTACAGGTGAGCTTGGCTAGAGGCAATCCCTACTCTCCTGTCTATGCCCAGCTGCTTGGATCAGCTGAGTACTCTTATCACCTGTTAGAAAGGATTCTAATTCAATCTACTGCTGGGCGCTGAAAGTTGGCCAAGACAGCCTTCGGGATACAATATATAGAGCAACCCACTCTGACAGCTCTCTATCATCAGATCCATGCCACAGTCATGCCAGATGCCCAGTAGTGTCGAGTTCCATTATCAAGACTTACTCATGCCCTTTCCCAAAAGAGTTTGTAAACTCTTTGGGAAGCTGGATCCAGACTATGACCCAAAGACTCCAAATCATATATGTACACTCATGTTCATCACAGCCTTATTTACAATAGCAAAAAGATGGAAACAACCTACGTGCCCATTAGCGGAAGAGTGGATGACCAAACTATGGTATATACACATAATGCAGCACTAAAGAATAATGTAGAGTCTGCAAAACACCGCATAATATGGATGAATCTGGAGGACATTATGCTGAATGAAGTAAGTCAGTCACAGAAGGACAAATATAGTTTGTTGTTGTGGAAGGTCAAGGAAAGGTTTATATATAGAGGGAAACTTTCTTTGTTGGTTGCCAGGAGTGGGAGGGAAGGAGAGAGAACACTGCACACACAAAAAAAATGCACTGACCCATGTCACTTTAGTTTTGTGTATTGCACTGTACATAAATTATATTTCAATAAAATGCATTAAAAAAACAAAAAAATAAATAGAGGGGAGGAAAAAAAGACTCCAAATCAAACTTAACTTCATAGAGCCTTTAGTTAAGAAACAATGTTGCTCTCTCCTTTATTGCTTTTTATTCCATTTTAATTTTTAACACCTTTCACATTCATTTTATTATTATTATTGTGCTTTAGGAGCAAATTTACAGGGAAGAATTTGTTTTACATTCAACATTTCATGTACATTTGGTGTCACTCCCCAATTACCATCCCCAACCCTAACCCACTCTCCTCCTCTCCATTCCCAGTAACAGCCCCCAACCACCTCCCTGAGCCCATCTTAGTTATGCACTCCTGTCTGTCCAGCTTTTCTCTGTGTGAATGTTGTCCCTCTGGTGCTCCATGGCCGATTGCTCCAAGGGATTTATCACCCTGGGTTGAATATTCTGCATATAAGTCTTATTTACTATTAGGCTGAGAGCCATCCCTTGGGAGTGAGTTTCATCCCAGGCCTGAAGTGTATTCAAGGGCCATAGTCTTGGGGGTCCCACCAGACTCCATCTGACCAGTAATACTGGCCATCATTGTGTTTTGAATTTTGTTCCAGGTTTTTCATCCCACTCTATCCAGGATCTCCAGTTATGATCTATTCCCGAGTAGTTGGCATTGATAGCCAGGCACTATCTAGTTCTTCTGGTCTCGAGGTCCATCATGACCTGGGGCTGACTGTTTCCAAATGTCCTTGGTTTTTTTTCACTCTTCTTCACTTCTGATGATAGGAAACCATTAGTTGCATCTTAGATGGCTACTCAAATGCTTTTAAGACCCCCGTCGCTACTCATCAAAGTAGGTTGTAGAACAAGATTTTTATGTACTTTGTTGTGCCAATTGAGTCTGGTGTCCCCCAATATTATGCTCCTGAATTGGCAGATCCAGTGGATCTCGCTCCCTCAGTGTCTGGCTGTCTATGAAGGATTGCTCTATGTCTGTCTTCTGTTGTTTCTATAATGATTGTGGGTATTTTGTTATCACTAGTATCTGTGCAAGATTAGCCTCAGCTGAATCTGTCTTTGGTCTAGAATATAATCCTGTTCATTGACCCCCATCTGATTTTCTCAGTCGTCTACATGTTTAACTATAGCCTGGTGTTTCGTGTTAATGGTAATTTGTGGATATACTGAATGTGGATATATACATTCATTATTTTCTTACTCACATCACTAACATTATTTCATTATTAACTAAAATATAAAATATTCTTAGGGAAAAAACTAACATCAGAATACCTTACATTAATCTGGAACATATATTCAATATTAAAATAACATTAAAATTCTAGGAAAAATAAAGAGAAATTGAACTTAGATTTTAAAAATTAATACTGACAAGATATTGTTTGGTATTGCAGTACAGTTTACTAACCTCTGATTCATCACCTTTCTCTCTATACGCAGTGGCAATACTAGTCTGAACAGCTTTAATCCATGCCTGGCGCAGCTTTTCAGAATCTGCCTGGAGCATACAACTTCTAAAAAGAAACAACACAATTGTTTTCTCAGACACTACAATAACCAGTAAAAAAACCATAAGCTTTAAATTTCTAGCCACTTTGTTATTTAATACATTTTTAACAACAACAACACAAATTTTTGTTAAAAGGTTTTATTTCATCTATCTTTAGAATAAAATATGCTCATGAAGAAAACAAGGTAGGTACCAGTAAAACAAATTATCTAATGAAAACAGAACATCATTTCTGCATATTAAATTAAAAATAAATCCTTAAATCTACTACATACATATTATCTTAAATTTTTCTATTGGTAACTTTCTAAAATACAAAATTATAATTCTCAAGGAAATTGAAATATAATTTCAGTTCATCATTATGACAGCTAAAGAAGTTTTCATACATACATATCAATAATCTCTAGAGTTTTAAAGAATATGGTATATGGGTAGAAGTTACGTAAATATATGACTGTAATATCTTTAATAATTACCTATTTGAATTTATTATAAAAATACTTTCTTTAGCACCGATAATTATGAGTCAAAGGCAAAACTTTCTGTACTCTGGAAAGTTCTTTAAGATAATCTATAGAAACATAAAAGCAACTTTCAGATTCTTTAGAATCACGCACTTTGTTGGAGAGACCACCTCAAAGCAAAATCTTCTTTCTATGTCTTCACAATGTTTCACTGTGCAGAGCCTGAGATCTTCAACTACCACAGTGGGATTATCCTATAGTAAGGAAACAAAATTTCTATATTTATTTAAATACTATTTCCAATAACAACATCCTTAAAAATATTACTTGGAATAGTCTACTTTTTTTTTTTCTAATTATTTTGAATACTTTCACATCATGTGCCCTTCTGAAAAATAAAAATTCTACACTCTTTGTTATAGATTGAATTGTGTCTCCCAAAAATAAGTGCTGTAAATCCTAACTCCTACCTGTGAGTATAATCCCATTTGGGAATGGAGTTTTCTTTGCTATGTTAATAAGGAATACTAGCTTAGGGAGCTCTGGTAGCATAGTGGCTAAGACACTTGCCTGCTAACCAGACGGCTGGCGGTTCAAACCCACCAGCCACTCCTCGGAAGGAGGGCTGGGCAATCCTACTTCCCTAGTGATACCGCCTCAGAAACCCAAGGAGGGGTCACTATGAGTCAGGTTGAACCGATGGCACATAACAACAACAACAACAGCTTAGGATGTAGGAGCTCTGGTAGCGTAGTGCCTAAGGCTGTTAACCAGTTCAAACACACCAGCCACTCCTTAGAAGGAAGGTTGGGCAATCTACTTCATAGTAATACTGCCTCGGAAACCCAAGGAAGGGTTGGGTCTTACTCGAGGGCACATAACAACAACAACAAGTGTAGGGTGTGTCTTTAACCAATCATTTTTGATAAAGGAAAGAGAAGATGAGGCGAAGAAGCAAGTACCCACAAACAAGAAGGTATATGTCACATGGAGACTGCCAAGGAATCAAGGAATGTTGGGTCTACAAAAACTGAGAGAGATCTTCCCCTAAAGAGAGAGGCTTCCTCCAGAGCGAGTGCCCTCATTTCAGACTTGCAGTCTCCTGAACTGTGAGAAAAAATAAATTTTGGTTCTTTAAAACCACCCACTTGGGGTATTTTTCTTACAGCAGTACTAAGAAACAAAATATCTTTAAAATAAGGATGGGAAAGACAAAATATATAAAAAAAATACTAACAAATTTAGATGTTACTATTTAAATTACTTGCAGCTTATGTTTTAATGTCATTTTTAACCTTTCCATATAATCAATTTTGACCCTAATGTGTACTCTTAAAAGGCCTCCTCCCTTTCAGCTTCAAACAGTACTATGCAATGTTAGTGCTATTCCTGTGCTAGACAAAGAGACATAGAAAGAAACACAAGTAATAATTCTGGAACACAGAAAAACCCATTCAAAGCTAGGAATTCATAATTCAATATCACTCTGCTTTTAAAGATCAAATGCTGACACTTTTCACTATGTTGTATGCTGTTGAGTCGATTTTGACTCATAGTGACCCTATATGACTGAGCAGAACTGCCCCATAGTGTTTCCCAGAGGGTAACTGTTTCCAGAACAGGTCTTTTCTTCCACAGAGCCACTGGTAGGTTGGAACTACCAACCTTTCATCTAGCAGCCTGTCACTTAACCACAGCACCACCAGGGCTCCTTACTTTTCACTCTAGGGTCCACTTAAAAACTCAGTGCCATCGAGTCAGTTCCAACTCATAGCAACCCCTCCTTGGTTTCTGAGGCTGTATCTCTATGGAAGTAGATTGCCCAGTCTTCCCTCCGAGGAGCGGATGGTGGGTTTGAACAGCCAGTCTTCTGGTTAGTAGTCAAATGCCTTAGGTGCTATGCCACCAGAGCTCCTAGAGTCCACTTACACATGGCCAAATACATGCCTAATAAATAGTACCTTTGCACATATGAGTGTTTATGAATTTATGCTTTACAAGGCAAACCAGTAATGATATGCAATTTGGGACTCATTAGGTTTCCATTTAATTACTTAACAAAACACCTACCTTAAACTTTTTCTGGTAAACCAATTGATTGTTCTGTATTGAAAACCAGCGTCTAAATAAATATAAAATACATTACATTTTAATAAACATAATTTCAACTGTTGCTAAAAATGAAATATTTGAGAAAGCACTGGAAATCAGTTTATGATTAATCATGTTTTGACTAATGCATTGTTTTGTTTCACTTCATATAAACTGATGTCAATATAACTAGTGAAAGTAAAGAACAAGCATTTCAAAACCAGATTAGGAAAATAAAATGACTATATTTTGATTTGTTTTATGACATAAATTGATACCCTAACAAACACTGTTATCATTTAGGTTATCACCAAGTAAATACTGTTTTAAAGTAAAAATCTATACATTTTTTGAGGTTCTTCAAAAATAACTGAACTCTTTCCCCAAAAGTAATTGTTTTATTGTAAAGGAGAAATCAATTTATATCATGAATGGAAATATCCATTGTCTATATATAATAAAACATATCAAATAAGTAGTCTGTTCCTTTCAACCTTTCTTCCAGGACTTATTTGTTAAGCAAAAAAGGAAACAAAATAATCAGTTTAGAACAGAAATCAAAGAGGAAATAATCACCAACTAACTTGGCCTTATTTTCATATAAAATACTTCTGGTCAGAATAATCAAAGTTTTTACTACAAAAGATTCATTCAACTATTTCCATTGTTCCGTTCATTATCGTGAATTATTAAACAATTTATTTGTAATCTTCTTTAGAAGAAAAAGCTAAGCTACAGATGCCATATTTACTAATTCTAATTTCTTAAATAACAGTAAAAGGATCTAAAGACTTACAAAAAAAACAAAAATAAAATCGCAGCCAAAAGCCATCCATAAAGCAAAAATTCTCATCAAGCATGAAAGGTAAAACAGTAACTGAGTCATTTTAAAATTAGTGTCATATGAGATGATTTCTATTGTCAACATTAGTTATTAATCTATTAGCAGATAGAGATTCTACCTTTTCATTGATACTAACACAAAGCACTAGAAATAACATATTTAAACTCTTAGAAAAGTTCTATTTTAAAAAAATTAAGTTAATTTTCCAAAGCTAAGAAAAAAATTAGGACATACTTTTTCATTTTTAAATCATTTCCTAAACACACTGTTAGGTTTCATTGTCACTTAAAAAGATGTTACCTTTACCATTAAAATAAAGATTTGTTAAATAAGCATCTGGACAAAGCCAGGTGTTGTCTCTAAATGCAAATCAAGAGGAAAGCTAGAAAAGGAAGAACTTCTGGGTATTTTTGCTTTGGGGCACATAGTTGGTTAGAAATGTTAAAGAAAATACCTACAAACAAAATGGTGCAGCCCTGTGGCATGGGATGACATGCAATGGAAAAAAATCTCTGTTAAGGATTACAGTGGTTTTTTCATTAATAGTAATTTGAACTAGGGTGGACTATTTTAATAAAATTTATTTTGTTCTATCATATTATAGTAATCATATAATCTGATGAAAATTTCCAGATTGTTTTTTATTGCACAATGGAAAAAACACTTGTTACCATGTAAACTTTTCATGCTTCTGAGGTCTTTAAATAAGGTCTTCAAATAATACCCTCTAAAAGTAATAACAAAATACTAGATAGGAACCTATGTTCCAATTAGTAACTTTGCAGATCAGGTGTATTTCTGAAACACAAATCCCCCGCCATCTATCTGCTTCTAGGTGACTTTTTCACATCATCAGTTCTTGTACACTCAGGAAAGACAAACTAATTTCAATATATATTTATCTTAGTTTGACAATATCTCTAAGAGAAAAAAGTCATAAATTATCCTAGGTAGAAAAAAATCTGAAACACTATGATCTGCATGTCTTATGATACTATCTCCCCTCCACTGCCCTTTTTTTAAAAAAAAAAACAAAAAAAAAAAAACAGCTAACTGCATTCATTTAACCATGACTGAGACTTTAATCAGGTAAGTAAGTAAAACGGAATATAATCGTTAATTGTTGCACCTAAAAAACAATGCTAGGTATTAACAGTTCCAATAAAATGAAAAATGAGACTTATAAATAGTTCATGGTCTATGGAAAAAAGAAAAAAAAAACCTAAATATTTAAAGCACTCAGTACCTAGAATTTGAAGGTACCAGAACAAATAACTAGATCCAAGGAGACAAATTTTGGACAGCACTATGATGACTACCGTATCCTAAAAGATTCATAAACTGACCACAAAGCCAAAATACAAGACAGTTTTCTAAAAGGGACAACTCCTTACTTCATTAAGAAAACCAAAAATATTTTGTATCTATTTCAAATTGAAATAATTTGATAGAATAAAAACTATAAGCTAAAACTGGGTAATGTTTACTTTTTATTTAAAATATTGATTTTTACATATCAATGGAAGCTTCCAGATGGTACAATTTGGGGGGAAAGGAGAATATTAATGTAAACATGTACTGAAAAGTTATTTTTTACTGTTTCATCACTAGTTCCAGGAATGTAGTTAAAATAAAGAATTGAGGTCTGAGTCCCAACTGTAAATCTGTCCAAGGTTTATCATTAAAACTAAACAGATGAGAGTTTTGTGCACACACTGACAGCAGTGCCAAATAGGTAAACATTTAGCAAAACTAAAAAGTTAAAACTGTATGTTCCTTTATTTCAAATTAAATTAATTTTTTCACAGGGGGAAAAAAAGTCAAATGGTAAAACAAAGAAAAAATCTAGGAACTAATCATATTTCTTAACAACATAAGTAATATGTTTTTTACCAAAGAGACTGGTTGTTGTTTAAAAACTTTTTAAAGTTTACTAGCATATTTCCTTTTTTAAAAAAAGATATAAAAATATTCATATTACTCAATCTGTATTTTCTTTGGGTAACTATAAACATATCATATGTTCTTTTCCAGATTTGAAACAAAGTGAAGAGATGACAATTGAAAAGACAGAATGTCATTCCTCAAATAAAATATTTCTATTTTTTTCTCAATTTAAAGCCTAGAGAGACTTTATATCCATTGCAAGTAATCCAACTGAAACGCAGATTAATTATGAGCTTTCTCGTGCCAAAGAGAAAATTTGAGTAGGGTAGAGGGTGAGGGGAAGGAAGGCATTTGGTACCTGATATGATCGGGCTTTTTCCTGTCATGTGAAAAAATGGGGCAGGTTTAAAACATAAGGGAAAGGTGGTAAAAGAATGAAAACGCAAATGTGCAAAATAAGCAAAGGACTAGCATGATATAAAAATAAAGCAAGAATTAAAGGAACAAGCTTAAGCTCATAACCTAACAAAATAGTCAAAACTATATGTCGAATTTTATTTACATATTATACATGTATGCATTTATACAGTTCATTTTAACTCTTTGGAATCTGAAACACTAATTTTCAAAAATATTCATAAATATTCTTTAAAAATTATGCCATAGAACATTATGGTAAGATTTAGCACACTTGGGCATACCTCTACTATTATTTTCTGCCTCTATGGTCATGGCTATAAAACATAGATAGTACCTCTCCTCATCTTAATAAGCTGCTCCTAAAAAATTAAGGGAAATAATCACTATTGGTACATCTATATAAACCTGAGACAAATAAAAACTTTTCATAAGGAAAATGGGATCACTAATTAAGAATTTAAAAAATAATGAAATATTATTGGCCAAATAAACCTAACACCCCACCCTTTTTCAGCAAATGATAGCAGAGAAACTCTAAGGCCACACATAAACATACTTCATCTTTAATCAAATATCAAACATTTACATGTATATTAGCAGCATATAGAACTATCCCGCTTTAAAAAATACTTGAAATGTATTTTCTGCTTTTAACTAATCTTTGATTCACCAAAGACTGAGAAATTATTTACCTTCTTTATTAGTTTACCTGCTTATTACCAAAGAAATTATATTAATATTTACTTATTTTTTTCTTGATTTTTCATCTTTTCTGAAATTATTATGAAAAGTAAAAGAGAAATACAGGCTCTAATAACCCATCTAGCACTGATCTGAGCTTGAAGTGAAGCTGCCACACCAAGAAGACGACCTGGTAAGGAAAGATTATTTTGATAGACCTCATGTGTGCAGAAAAATACATATTATATACATATACAATTTTAACAGATGCCAGAAACTAGAAATCTGAAACCAATCAGAAACAAGTTCAACCTCACATAAAAGAGAAAACTCTTCACTCCATGTGGTATTCCAATCACATCACAAAATATATTCAGTTAAAATTGAGATTAAAGAATGATGCTTTCAAAATATAATTTATGAAATATGGATGTAAGGTTTTAAAACTTTCTGGGAATTCCTAGGCACATTCACATTCCCTCAGGAAGAAGGTATATTAAAAGAAGTTGATTTTGAAAACATTATATGGCATAATTCCATAGAACTATAGATAATAAGAAATGTGTCATGAAATGGTTGGTGCCTTATAGTGTCTACAACAACAACAAAATGATCCCTAAAATGAACCCATAAACAATCTTAAAAAAAAATAATCTTAATCACTGGACAGAAATAGCTCTATATTTAGGTAACTGGATTCCTGAATTTTTAAAGACACAAATATCATCAAAAATACAATGTTTTACCCAGATGCCAGTGGAATATATTAAATCAAGCTGAATAGAGAACTAATTAGAAAAGTAGGGCAGACTCAAAATTCATACATGGGTAAAGAAAAATTATTTACAAGTGTTTCCTGAAATTAAATTTTTAATAAGCCTCACATACAAAATTGAGATATACTGTACATTATAAGAATACAGCAGAGGAAAATTCCAAGTAACATTTTATAAATTATTCTTCCTTCTTCTCTCTTTTATAGTTCCTTAAAAAACCAGTTGCCATCAAGTCAATTTCAACTCCTGGTGACTCCACAGTTTCTATACTAAAACCCAAAAAATTTTAAAACTTATATAATGCAATGTTTTGACCTTTGCTTTTTGAAGAAAGTTTCATGTAACATTTAAATACCATATTTTTTACAAGTCTGCTTTTCACTAGCTGTTTTCATCAAAACATTCTTTAAAGGAATAACAAAATAAATTTTATTTGCCATGCATATAACTTTTCCTAATAATGCCAATACAATTTTTTTCACTGGTGACGTTTTTTTAGTTTTGTTTTGAAGTGAAGTTGATAATGCTTTAACAAAATACAAATCATTCGGAACTTCAATAGCAATTTTAAAAATGGTAAAAGGATATTTGAGTAGGAATTGGGAGTTGCAGGTTTTGTGCCCCAATATTGTCATAAAACAGCTGTGACTCCAAATAAACAGCATAATCTCTCCATACCTCCACTGCTTTACCAAACCTTTAGAGTGTTGAACTAGAATGGTATCAAAGTCCTTTTCTATGTTTCTAACCAATAACTACCACCCTACTACATTCCATGTCTTTAAAAAGCAGTCTCGTGTCTTCTTCACTTTACAAATAGGAACATGTCTACACATTGCAAACTTAAGTTATTCCTTATCTGATTTTCACTGCATAATAATATTTATGCCAATTAATAGAATTTATGAGACAAATAATAAAAATAGATATATATGCTTAAATCAGAATTAATTTTCCTCTACTGCCCTAAGTGGCAATGTCATTTTCCACTAACACTCACTGTGCTTCATTTTGATGTCTAACATAATTTCTTATTGGAGCAGTCTATGGAGATTCACTTCATGTTTTCTTTACATATGGTATAGTTTCTATGGATTTATTATATTTTTAGTGTGTTAATTTTAAGGAAGCTGTTTTGAAATCTGATGGTTAAAACTGAATTCTAAGATTATGTCATGATGTATGGATTGGGTAATCTTTATTTATTTTAAGGATTCACCAATCATATTTTTTTTAAATCACATTTTCTTTTTTTATTTCCTACTCTTGCTAGGAAAATTTGCTAAGAGATACTTAAAAGATTATTATCTTAATTTTTTATTTGCACATAAAAAGAATGTCTAACTATTTTATCAGCCAGACCATATTAGTAGGTCCTCCTAGTAGTCACACAATATATAAAAAGTTCTACCTAATACAAAAAAGCTTGAATTAATTATTATTCTTTTCAGTTTGTATCCACTCTAGGGTAATGGCAAATTATGTCAATATAACAAGCTATGTACCACTTAAACATTCATCAATATCAAATGTTAGGAAAATGATGAATAATCACTATTTGTAAATGTAAGTGAATTTTTTTTAACTAGCAAGAAATTAAAAGTATTAGGAAATCAATTCAATAAAGCATGAGCATTTCCATTTAAATTAACAAGAATGTACACAATATTAAATTTACCAGGAAAATTCTATTTTGCTAATATTCTTCTCTTATAAAAAATAAAATCTTCCCTAAAATTACATTAATTCATACCTGTTTAAGTGATAAAGGAAATATAAACATTTCAACCACATATAATATTAAATCAATTAATCAGAATTCAAATAATGTACTTAATTATTATAATTGTTCTAACCACCTTTTTTTCCCAAAAAAGAGAGGCACCCCTGAATCAAAGATTAATCACTGATATTAAGAAGGATGATCCTGAAATAACTCAATCTTCTGTTTGATGCCTCAGTGTCTTAAATTACTTCCCTTTATTATATTTAATACATAGAAAAATACAATAAAACATTTTATGCATTCATTCATTTAATAAACATTTACTGGATTTATATATTTTGTAATAATCATTTTAGTAAAAAAGAATTCAAAGTTTCAGTTGCCATGAAGCTTAGAATAAATAAGTACCTAGCATCATGCACTTCTCACACTAAAAAATTCCCATTGCTAATATCCTAATTGAAATTATTGAAAAGTTCAAACAATCTGTATCACCTAACTTAAAGATTCATATTCCAAGTAGGAGAATACATAAATATCAGATAGTGAAGAAACCAAAAGAAGGAAAAAAAAACCTCACTTGTCCTAGTTATCTATTATACTCACAATCAAATCTATTTTATAACAAATATGAGACATGGGTCACATAAATTAATTTACTGTAATGACCTAGTCATAAATACCAAGCAGTATAAAAATTCTTACTGACTTCCTCATTTAAACCTTGCTCAAATTTTAGAATTTCAGATTAATGTTCTCATCTTTCACACTCATATAAGGGTTCCCTTTCCTAGACAGACATCTTCAGTGGACTAGGTTCACAAATGCACTAATGACTGAGCATGCAAGGAATTACGAAGGAAAAAGCTGCAAATCACAGGAAAAGACACAAAATTGTGAACATAGAAACATCAAGACTAGTATTTAAAATAATATTACCTGTTCCAAGTTTTGAAGGCATTGCTGGCTCGCTTGAACAAATATCCTTCCATAACAATGCCATTTGCAGCATCTACATTATATTCTAACTTAGAATCATCACTGGAGAAATCCTGGATAAAATAACACATAAAAATGTTCATATGATTTGATTAAGCTCCCTTGCCAACAAATGTATCCTAGGGAAATAGCTTACAAGGAAGAAAAGCTTTGCATTAAGACAATTATGATAATATTATTCATAAGAAAAGGGAGAAACCTAAACGTTCAATAATAGAAGAATTCTTCAACATATTAAAGTATTTTAATTCAATGGACTATTAGGCAATTATCATCATTATGATGTAAAAACATAAAAGATTATATAGAACACCCGGTAAAAAAGAAAACAGAATAAAAATTGTATATACACTCAAAGCAATACACATACTAATAGTCAAAGAGAACAGCTAAATATTATAAAGCATGTAATGTTTATAAATGTTTTCATTTTATGGTGATGTGTGTTAATTTTTAAACGGGCATTTTTAAAAAAGTTGCCATCGAGTCAGTTCTGACTCATGGTTAACCCATGTGTGTCAGCGCAGAACTGTGCTCCACAAGGTTTTCAACGGTTGATTGCAGGCAAGTGGACTGCCAGGACTTTCTCCTTGGGAATACGAACTGCCAGCCCTTCTGTTAGCAGTTAAGTGCATTAACCATTTACACCAGTCAGGGACTCCCAAAAGGACACATACCAACAACTAACCCATTGCTACTGAGTCAACTTTGACTCACAGTGACCTTAGAGGACAGAGTAGAGCTGCCTCATAGGATTTTCAAAACTAAAAATCTTTATAGAAACAGACTGCCACATCCTTCTCCTACAGAGCTGTTGGTGGGTTCGAATTGCTGACCTGTCACTTAGCAGCTGAGCACTTATACCACTGTGCAATAAGGGCTCCTTAAAGGGCATATAAAAACAAAATACACTGCCATTGAGTCCACTCATAGCAACCCTATAGACAGACCAGAACTGCCCCAAAGGGTTTCCAAAGCTGTAATCTTTATAGAAGCAGACTGCTCATCTTCCTCTTGCAGAGCAGCTGGTAGGTTAGAACCACTAACCTTCTGGAGCTCCAAAAGGGCATGCAGATGTATTTAACTGGGATAATTCAAATTTACCACTATTTTTCTAAATTTATTACTACCATAAAAAAACCAAACTCACTGCCGTCGAGTCAGATCTGACTCATAGTGACCCTTCCTTGGGCTTCTGAGGTAGCATCACTATGGAAGTAGATTACCCCATCTTCCTTCCGAGGAGTGGCTGATGGGTTTGAACCGCCAGCCTTATAGTTAGCAGTCAAGTGCCTTAGGCACTATGCTACTAGAGCTCCTATTACTACCATAGTATTTTTCAAATCTTTTTCTTAACTCAATAGAGGAACAGAACTCATAAATAGGGAAAAGGCTCCACAGTGTTTTTTCCCTAAAACAAAATGTAGTTTGCAAACAACGCCCGTCGTCCACACTCTGAGGTGGCTATGTTGAGATCACTTGTTTATGAGGACTCACACTCACTCACAGTCTTCCTCTACTGCCTATTCACTGGAATGCAATTCAAACTTTCAATTTTCCTCCAAAGATTCACTCAGTTTTGAAACCAGAAATCCTGTATTTAAATTATTTCCTGATTTATTTCCAAAGCAATCCGAACAAAGTTGTAAGACTGGTGCTATCCTCAAATTTAAAACTCTAAAAATCAGCTTGAGAACTTCCAAAATTATTTCTGGAACAATGAACAAAATTAGAATACTATCCTATTAGGGAGTAGTGAGCATCCTGTCACGAGCAACATTTTGGCAGAGGCTGCCTGACCACCTGCTGAGAATGCTGAGGTAGGGCGATGGTCTTGTCCTAGAGAAGAGGTAAAATGAAAATCACCTAAGGGTCTCCAAATCTAAGAATCTGTTAAGAAGAAAAACGGATATAGTCTGAATTTAGAATTTTTTAAAATTTCCCTGATAACTTTCAAAATTTAATGGCAAAAAAACACATTAATTCAAAATAATCAAATGAAGTAGAATCTATAAGTTAATATATACATTTCTTCTTATTTTTTTAAGGAAAAAAAATCAGGAAAGCTTTAACTTCTTCATTTAAAATTCATCTGAAGTTACAGTTTATTTAATTATGCAGACAGGATTAAGTCATCAACAGATATAATTGAGTTTGGAAACATTACAAAGGTTTCATTTGTAGTATTAGTACTTTTTAAATGACCATGATGCTACTAAAATATAAAATAAGACTTTCTTGAAAGTGCAGTGCATTACAAGTATTTTCTAATTTCCAAATATATTTCTTGAGATGAACTGTCTTCAAATTAATTAATTCAGTTAATATTTTATAATACTTGGCAACAGTGACAGATTATGTGATTTTATAATGAAAGCAACAACTAACGTCAGGTAAATATATTGAAATCCCTTTAAATGCATTCACGAGCTGATAAATTAAGAAGGAATACTCAAAAGCAAAAGATTAAGTGAAAATGAGAAGCCTAAAAGATCAGCAGAACACTGAAGCTAGATTTCATCTAAGAGCATCTGTTTTATCACGGAAACTTGAGCTTTGGTGTGGGGACCAGGAAACAGAAGGCAAAACCAAGGTTGGCCGAGGTTGGACAGGAATCTATTAATAGAGGGTCTCCCTCTGAAATTGCCAACATGCCAAGAAGGCTCTTTATTAGTACTTCCATTCAAGAGTATGCTGGAGTTCAGTAAGAAAGGAAAAAGTAAAGGACTGGAAAGTAAGAAACAAAACTGTCATCATATATGGATGAAATGACTATGTACACAGAACGTCCAAAAGAACACAGAGATAAAGCAGTATTAAAAGAGAGCCTAACAAGATTAAATCAACTGCTGTAGTGTCAATTTCGACTCACAGAGACCCTCCAGGACAGAGTAGAACTGTCCCATAGCATTTTCAAATCTGTAAATCTTTACAAAGCAGACTGTCACATATTTCTCCCACCAAGTAGCTGGTAGGTTCAAACTGCCAACCTTTCAGCTAGCAGCAGAGTGCTAAACTACTATGCCACCAGAGCTCCTTTTAGCAAGAATAAACCAAATCCACTGCAATCAAGTCAATTCCGACTCACAGTGAGTCAAACTGTCCCACAGAGTTTCCAAAGTTGTAAATCTTTAGAGAAGCAGACTGCCACATCTTTCTCCTGTGGAACAGCTGGTGGGTTCGAACTGCCGACTTTTCAGTTAGCAGCCAAACATTTAACCGCTAGTACCACGGCTCCCTTTAACAAGATTGCTGGTTATAAAATCATCACAGAAATATCAACTTATTTCTAACAGAGCAAACAATAAGAAAATAGATTTTTAAAGAGAACATTTGCAACTGTTTAATCTACTTCCATAGTGATACTGCCTTGGAAATCCAAGGAGGGGTCACTATGAGTTGGACCCAACTCGACGACAGTGAGACTGAGAAGAATAAATGTAACAAAACACATACACGAAAACTATAAGGGAAAATGTAAATAAATGGGAGAAAAATAAATATACCAAGGTCATGGATTAAAAGATACAGTAAAATAATTATATCAATCCTCTCCCAAATTGATTCATAAATCTAATGCAACCTCAATCAAAATCCCAGAAGCTACTTTTATGGAATCTGAAAAGCTGCTTCTGAAACTTACATGAAAATGCAAAGAGCCAATATGAGCAAGCTACTTTTGAGGAAGAAAAAGTCTTTGTTTTATCAGATAACAACATGTACTATATAAATCAATAATAATGAAGACAGCATAGTACTGGCACAATTGGACAATAAGACTGATAGAACAGATTAGAGAACATGAAACAGACTTCACATGTATGAAAATGTGAATTAGAAGATGAGAGATTGCAGCTAAGTGGGGAAAAAACAAACTTCTAAGAATTCCAATTATGAATTATGAATTATGGCTGCCAATGTGAAGAAAAAAAGCAAAATGGAGCTCTACTTCACACCATACACAAAAGCCTAATCATAGACCGACAAAAGACCTAAATCCAAAAAGAAATGGTATAAACACTTAGAAGGTAAGTGTTCTTTATGATCTTAGGATTTGGAAGGGTTTGTTAAACAAGACACAAAAAGCATAAACTCTGTGAACATAAAAATTTTCAATTATTAAAGAACTTGATAGGGAGGTAGGGCGTGGGAAGTTACAGAATGGGAGAAGGTATCTGCAACACTTATACTCCCAGAAAGGACTTATGATCAAAATATACGAGGAATTTGATCAACAATTAGTTAGGCAACCTAACAGCAAAATGAGCGAAAAGACTAACAGACATTTCACGAGAGAATATCCAAATGACCCATACACATAGGAAGCGGTGCTCAAGCTAATGAGTTATTAAAGAGGTATAAATTTAAACCATAGTAAAATATCAATATACACCTACTGCATTGGCAAAAATTAATTAAAGACTCTTACAATACAATGGATAAGGTGAAAAGGTGCAACAGGCACTCCCACACAGTGCTGCAATGCTGCTTCCTAACACTTTGAAAACAATTTAGCATTATCTACTAATGCTGAACATTTATATACCCTATGATCCAGCAGTCAGAAATATGTGTATATATCCAAAAGGTTAAGTACAAAGATGTATATAACATCAATATTTCTTAATTAATCAGTAATTTTTAAAAAACCCACATGATTACATGAGACATTTCCCCTTAAATGTTAGATGATTGGATTTTTGTTTTTACCTGTAATGCAGCCTGTGCCAGCATTTAAAGGCAGAGAAAAGGTAAGTATTCACGGTTAGCAAAAATATTACCTTCTTTAAAAGAAAACAGTGAAGTATTATTTAAAGTCAGGGAAGTTAATCTTAGATTTAATAATCTATATGTAAGTTTTGGACCTTCAGTACAACATTGAACCTAAAAACTCAATCTCTTATGTATACAGAATAGGAAAAAAAAAAGGGATGCAAAATATTCATTTTAAAATTCAGTAAGCATATATTCATATTTCTATAAAAATCATGATCTTTCATTTAATTAGAAATGACTGGCCTCCAATTTTTAACAGTCTCTCAAAGGCAATGTCATTAAAACAAGTTATGGAAAAAATGTGAATTTACTTGAACGAAACCAAAGAAAATATGGAGTTAGTCTCACGTGACTACAGCCTGGAAGTAATTTAAAGATGGTCTGGTAGGAAATCTTTCCTTTTTCAGTATTTTCTCCTTGAGTATTAATAACCAATCACAGATGAAAGTTTCTTTACTTCTATTACTAGCTTCTCCTTCATTATTTTCCCTGATATATCTTCCACATCAAAACCAAAACCAAACCCACTGTCATTGAGTCGATTCTGACTCATAGTGATCCCCATTATTTTTTTTTAAATAAATTCCCCTATAATTAATTTCTTACATTAGTATTAATCCTCTATTTTTTTTTTTTTATTTTGATTGTGATTTGGGTGAAAGTTTACAGAGCAAATTCACCCTCCATACAGCAGCTCACATATACTTTGTCACATGACATTGACTGTAATTTCCCACAATGCAACATCTCCCCTCTTGCTTCCTCCCCATAGTTACCTCTTCCCTGTGTCCTTCCCTCCATGCACTCCTGCTCCCTGAGCAGTCTCTCTGTGCATACACAGCCCTTCCATTCTCCCATGATTGTTCCCTCCAAGGAGTGTATCTACCTGAGGTAAATGTTCAACTCATATGCCTGTCTTTTCCTTGGCTGGAAGCCATAGGTGTGGGTTCAATTCCAGACCTGAAGGGCAGCTAGAGGCCATAGTCTCAGTGGTGCCACCAGGTATCAGACCAGCAAACCTGGTCCCCCCCATTTTTTTTTTTTATGATTTTGAGTTTTGTTCCACATTGTTCTCCCACTCTATCCAGGATCCCCTACATAGATCCACCTCCGAATGGTAGCCGGGCATCATCTAGTTCTTCTGGTCTCACAGTCATATAGGCTGAGGATCGCATGGTATACCAGTCACTTGGACTAATGTGTCCATGAGTCTTTGGTTTTCTTTATTCTTTGCTATGGACAAGGAGAGACCAATTGTTGCATCTAGATGGCTGATTGCAAGCTTTTAAGATCCCAGTCACTACTCGCCAAAGTAGGACGTGGAACAGTGTTTTTGTATAAATTGAATTTGATGTCCCCTGCATCTATGGGCATACTAGTGAGCCCCATTGGGTTTCCAAAGCGGTAAATGTTTATGGAAGTAGATTGTCCAGTCTTGCTTCCGTGGAGTGCCTGGTGGGTTTGAACCACCAACATTCTGGTTAGCAGGCAGATGCCTTAGTCATTGTGCTACCAGAGCTCCTTTCTTCTACATCAGGTCTAGTTTATTAGAATTTTAATTTCTAAATAAGCCATAACACAACTTGATTTGATTGCTCAATATCAAGAGAAAAGAATTCCTTAAAGCAATGCCAGAAGACAACTTGTCACACTACTTGTGTTGTCACATTTGCCCTTCAAAATTCTCCTCTTATTTTCAGATTACTGCATAAAAAATATCGCTGGTCATATAAAATAAAATATTATTAGGCTGAGTTTTAGGCATATTATCCTCAAATATTTTAGGGTACAAAAATAAAATCTGGTTTAAAACTTAAGTTCTCATTTTTAAAAACTTATTTTTCAAATATTAGTTTATCTCAAAAAAACAAACCAAACTCATGTCATCAAGTGAATTCCAACTCACAGCCACCCCCTTTGGGTTTCCAAGACCATAAATCTTTACAGAAGTAGATTGCCAAGTCTTCCTTCCATGGAGTGGCTGGTGGGTTTGAACCACCAACCTTTTGGTTAGCAGTCAACAGCAGTCAAATACCTTAGTCAAATGCCACCAGAGCTCCAAATTAACATGAAATACAAGTGAGGTTTAAACATCACATGGGAGATGAGGAGAGCCTTAGAGTGACAGCAACTAGAACATCCATAATACAAAACTGACACATTAACCCTGAGGCAGGTGTGCACACGCACATGCATACACACTCTTTTTACAGGGGCTGGTGGTATCTTAATTGAAACTAAGAATATTGTTTTAAATTCTAACTAAAGGTCCCTTTTAACTTAGAACCTGAAGAGGCTGATCTTTTACTCATCCAAGAGCACTCCTTTCAAATATATTTGATCTGAAAGAATAATACATACTTTAACACTTGAAAAATATTTCACTTTACACAAAAAGAGGAGGAATTTATCTGAGGAATTTAATTGTTAAAGCAACTCAAAAAAGATCTGTTACAACACAATGGTAACTTGCTGAAATCAATAATCTAACGATTGTGTAAAAGGAGCATTGATCTACTTTAACTTTTTTCCCTCAGGTACCTTTTGTTGAATGGTGGAATGTTTTTGCTCCATCTCTCTTTTTTCCTTTGCTGCATCCACAACTAGTCGATCCAACTATATAAAGGGGGAAAAGCAGAAATAAATAAATAAACATACTGAGTTGAAAATCAGACTGAGTTGGAAATAATACATGATTACTTTTTAAAATCATACTCCCAAATCATTTCAAATATAAGCACAATAAGAGTCCAATCAATTTACATTTACTTTAAAAGACACTTTGGTTACCACTTTAAGATGGAAGTTCATATTTTTCCTGGTATCAAATCCTCTAGGAAAAGGTCTATTATTGCCTCTAAGGAAAGCATTTCCAGAACAGTCATGATACCAAGCACGTGTGGTAGGAGGCCTTTTCAAATGCACCGCAGTGATGGCATAGTCGGCCCCAGAATAAGGAAAATGACTTTAGCTTAAGTTGCCTGCTGATCTACCCAGCAAATTCTGGCAGTCACATCAAAGATGGAAACAAGAGATCATGGTGATTTTTTTTTTCCCGAAACAGCAAAAAGTAGTAGCTAAGCTATTGGAGCCAGCTCTCCCAAGTTCACATAACAGATACTTCATATCATTCAAGTTGCTTCATATTTTCAAGTTGGTTCCCTAATGTTATAATCAAGTCTAATTCACTAGGTAAAAGAAAAAGCTAAAGTAATAATAAAATAAAAATCACTCAGAAGATCAAGGTATAAAATCACCCATTTTAAGATACTTTCTTTTTAAACGCTTAGAAACTTAATTACATTAAAATTTTTTCATTTATCTTTTTGTTCCTTTCTTTCACAAAAGATTTTTTTTTCCCACCAGAAAAGAAGTATTTGATCTACATGTATCACATGTATTATGTGATTAGAATCATACTACTTCTTGAACTCCTCCTACTTGCTAGAATAATAAACATTTGAGCTGGAATAAACATTTGGAATAAGCATTTGTCCATTATGTATGTCATCACCTCTGGACTGTGCTTTAGTATTATTTTCATCTTTGAACTCTTATCCCCTCTAACTGATCAGTCTATGTTTGAAAACCAAAATGTAAATATTATCAGGAATATGGAGAAAGTATTAAATGTCCAAATGTTTATCCTTTAAAAACTACAGTGGAAAAAGTATTCTTATAAAATTACTTGATCCTTTATCCATCCTCTATCACAATTTTTTTTTCCTACAGATGAATAATTCTGAACCCAGAATCTTATTACTGGACAGCAAAAAATGATAAAAACAGAACTATCACTATTAATAATTAATAACAGTATTAAATTTAGAGGCAACTATGGTACTCTGCTTTGGTATCTAATACATCCATACTTTAGTGACATGTAACATTGATTTAATGGGTGATGCTGGTACATGCTACACTAGCAATATATATGCCCTCAATAATTGCTTATATAGAATCAGTGGGATAAACATTGCACCATGGTTTCTAAAGCCACTAATTGAATAGAATACAAATATTATTCATTCAGACTGAAATGCAGTACACAAGAGCCCCCAAGATATAAACCAATATTTACAAACTCACACATGTACACCTTACACATGAGTACTGTATTGCAAGTGATGATTTTCTGCCTATCATCAAACTGACAGTAAATTCCTCTGCTGTATCTCCATCCCAATGCTATATGCAGCAGAAAGGGGAAATTTCCCTCTCTGTGTTGGGGCAGGAAGGGAAAGAAAAAATGATCTTTCCACATGTTGGGAGAGGCATGAGTTGAGGAGCTATGAAAAGAACAGAATTGTCTTCTAGATGCTGGTAATTTCATCATGAAGAGTTTGGAGCACAGCAGGATGTGCCCCATGTTTGAGTAAGTGTACAGGCTCCTGTAACTAGTGAAGTATCCTCCTTCTTCTACCTGTGTACAGAATCTCATCCCATCCTACCGGCTCAGATATCACCCCTTCTCTTTCTCTTTTTCAATTTCTCTCTCTCGAACTGGCCTGTTTCCAGCTGTTTTCACATTTGTTCAAATCACCCGTCTTAAATAAAACCTCCCTCCAACCCATATCCCTTTCTAGCTACTATATTCACTTTTGCTTATCTTCACAGCCAAAACATTTGAAAAGGTTACCTACATTCTCTGTTCTCCACTTGCCTATTTCATATTCATCTACCCACTCTAATTCAGCTTCTGTTGTCCAGATCCACTCTCCACTGAAACAGTAACTCTCTCAGAGTCAGAAACAGCCTTCTGGCTGCTAAATGCAATTGACATTTCTGTCTTTTTGAGACACTCTTTCTTTGGTCTATGATATCACAGTCTCCCGGTTTTTCACATTCTCTCACATCTTTTTCCTCATGCCTCATGGAGCTCCTCTTACCTTGTGGTTGTTAACTTCTGTTGAATCAGCTCCAAGTCATAGTGACCCTATGTACAACAGAATGAAACACTGCCCAGTTCTGCACCATCCTCACAACCTTGAGCCCATCATCACAGCCACTATGACAATCCATCTTGTTGAGGTCTTCCCCTTTTTCACTGACCCTCTACTTTACCAAGAATGGTATCCTTCTCCAGGGTCCCTTCTGACAACATGACCAAAATATGAGAAACAAAATATGGCTCCTCTCACTTCTAAGCAGCATTCTGGCTATACTTCTTCCAAGACAGATTTGTTCATTCTTCCGATAGTCCATGGTACATACGATATTCTTTGCCAATACCACAATTAAGATGCATCAATTCTTTAGTCTTTCTTATTCATTGTCCAATCTCCCACACATGAGGCTATTGAAAATACCATGCCTTGGGTTAGGCCCATCTTAGTCTTCAAAGAGACATCTTTGCTCTTCAGCACTTTAAAGAGGTCTTTTGCAGCAGATTTACCAGTGCAATACATCATTGATTTCTTGACTGCTGCTTCCACGAGCACTGATTTGGATTCAAGTAAAATGAAATCCCTGACAACTCTCTTACCTAGTTATCCCTTAAAAGTAGGTGCTTCGTAGGACCCAGTCCCAAGCCATTTTCTCTTCTTACTTTCCATCAGTGAACTACAACCTTAACTTATGGAACCAAAATTTTTAAGTACGGTGTCCAGGCCCCAGCATTTAAAAAAAATTGTTATAGCTCCACAAGACTGAGATTATCTATTAACACCCTCTAGGTTAATTCATCCACTTTCAGGATGCAATTAGCAATTACATGCTACTAACTCTTTTACTTTTTTATTTTAATTAATTATTATTATTTTTTTATTGTGCTTTAGGTACAAGTTTACAGAGCAGAGTTTTACATTCAACATTACGTGCACATTCAGTTTCACTCCCCATTTACCATCCCCAATCCTAACCCAGTCTCTTCCTCTCCCTACCCTGTAAACCTCCCTCCCCCTGTGCCCCTCCAAGGTATGTACCCCTGTGTGTCCTGTACTTTGGTTGCCACTTTGGTGCCCCGTGGTCGATCGCTCCAAGGGATGCATCTCCATAGAGTATGTGGGTGTGCCACCCTTAGTTGAGTGGTCTTGTTTACTACTGCGCTGAGAGCCAGCCACTGGGAGTGAGTTTTATTCCAGGCCTAGAATGTTTCCTAGGGCCATAATATTGGGGGTCTCACCAGACTCCACCCAACCAGTAATTCTGGTCATTATTGAGTTTTTGGATTTTGTTCCACATCTTTCTTCCTACTCTATCTAGGATTTCCAGATTTGATCCTTTCCTGAGTGGCTGGGCACCATCTCATTCTTCTCGTTCCAAGGGCCATCATGTCCTAGGGCTGATTGCTTCCAAATGCTCTTGTTCTTTTTTTTTTTTTTTGCACTCTTCTTCGCTTCCGACAATAGGAGACCATTAGTTGCATCTTAGATGGCCACTTGAAAGCTTTTAAGACCCCAGTCGCTACTCACCAATGTAGGATGAGGAACAAGACTTTTATGTGTTTTGTTGTGCCAACTGAGTCTGGTGTCCCCCAGTACTATGGTCCTGAGCTGGTAGATCTGTTGATCTCTCTCCCACAGTGTCTGGCTATCTGTGAGGGATTACTCTATTTCTGTCTTCTGATGTTTCTGTAAGGATTACAGGTATTTTGTATCACTGGTATCTGTGCAAGTTTAGCCCGCGCTGAACCTATCCTTGGTATAGAGTATACTCCTGTTCACTGACTCCATCTGATTCTCTCAGATGTTTTATGTGTTTATCTGTAGCCTGGTGTTTTGGTGTTAATGGTAATGCGGTATCGTGAAGACACTGGTTGGTATTAGCATCTGTCGTCTATCTCCTATATGCACAAGTCAGTGTCCTCCCTTTTCCTAACGTTATCATGGTGGTCACAGACTCTTTCCACATATCCCTCCCCTTACCCATGTCAGTGTGTGGGCCCCAACTAGCCTGAAATTAATCCTTCCCCTTCCCTCCCCATTCTGGAACTACAAAGTGAGTTCCTGTTCCCAAGCAAACCCTTCTTTGTCTTTTTACAGTAATGGACTCATATAGTACTTGTCCTGTGATTGACTTATTTCACTCAGCATAATGTCAGTTATAACTCTTTTAGCCTCTCTCTTGAACTCTGGATATATCCACTTGGATAACCTATCCTCAAAAGTCAACATATTTAACCTGAACTCACCATATCCCCCTACCTTCAAATTGAATGTACCTTAAATATCACTCAGGTCTATTTCTCTTCATTCCTATTGTTGTGACCCTAGTTCCAGATGCCATTATCTCCTAACTAAATTACTAGAATATCTTAAGTAGTCTATCTCATTCTAAACTTAGGCTCTACCCAATATGGTCTTCAAATAGTTATATTACTAAACTACAAATGAGAGCATGTCATTCTCTAGCTTGATATTTTCAATGGCTTTTCACAGCTCTTAAGATGAAATCTAAACTCCTTTAAGTAGCTCAGAAGGCACTATGTGAAACTGGCTCCTGATCAATTTATTCAGCCTCCTCTGTTACCAGTTCCCACTTCAAATTTTAGACTCCATGCACACGGAGTTTGCTAATCTCCTCCATCTTTCTCATGTCAGCTTTCTTCTGAGATGCTCTGCATGGTACCACAAATAAGGCCATATTAGCCACTAGGTACCTTAGGCACTGGGGCTTAGATGCTTTTTGAGGGCATGCAAAATTATTTAAGATCTAAGAGGAATAAACTGCAAAATTAAATTTAAAAATTAATTTGAATGTCTAAATATATACAATTATTTCAACAAATCAACTTCAATTCATCTTACGTTATTTTATAAACAATGTGAGATGAGGGTTACAATCCAGTGTTTCAGAGGATGTGAGGAGGGCTTAGAGCCCAGAAGATCTTGTGTTCCTCCCAAGTGCAGGTTAGATGCCCTAACTAAATGTGCCTACAACACTTCAACTTTCCCCTATGTGGCAGACTACTAACTGTCCCCCAATAGTCATGTTCCCCTTTCTCCGTAACAAAAGAACCCCTAAAATTCTAACAGGTGACATGGATACCTGGCGCCAAGTCTACTGTTTCCTAGCTTTCTCTGCAGCTAGTGTGACCCTGTGACTAAGGACTGACCATTGGGATATACACTAAAGTGCTATGTGCAAATTCCAAGAAATGTCCTCAAACGTAAGCAGTGTGTCCTTCCTTCCTCTTTCTCTCTTCCTATTAGCTAGAATTTAGGTATGATGGCTAGAGCTTGAGCAGCCAATCTGAACCATGAGGTAGAAGCAAAAGATGTAATAGCCTGGGTCACTGCTGATCAAGTGACCACAATACCAAACCTTTCACATTACACAGGAGAAATAAAAATCTATCTTGTAGAGCTACTACCATTTTTAGTTTTCTATCACTTGCAAAAAACCTAATCCTAACTATATCCAGCTAGAGCACTTAGGCACTTAGTGAAGAGAGAGTAGACACAGAGATTAATAGTCAGGTAACCTGTTAGTTTAATTCTAATAGATTAAGTTCTATGGAGGTAGATCTGTAATTCAGGGCATATACCTTGTGCATCACCCCTCCCCAAAACCATCCCAAGAAACACACACACATTCCATTCAGAGACTCCAATTCCTATTCTACTCTTTTCCCCATTCTCCAAACTCTGTCTTTCAACTTAATTCCCTCCCCTCAGCAAGTAGCCTAAGCCATCTTGAAAAAGAAAAATCACCTAAAAATTTACACTATTAAATCCAGAAAGCTCACCAATCAGCAAAGAACAATGTCCCCAGAACACATATAAAGTTCTGATCAGGTATCAAAAATAATTTGAATGTAATGAAATTCAATATATACAAAATCCTTACAACATACATGTGTGTTAAGGAATTCTATAACCTTAACTTTCTAAAATTTTATTTATCCAAAAAAGTAAAATATATATATTTTTTCTAAATAAAAAGGTGCTAAAATGCAAATGGAAAACCAATTAAGGCATTAACTCAGTTATCAAAACAAAAGAAATTAAAAGTAAGTCCAGCTCTATATATTATGAAGCAGGTATTTTATTTTTAAATTCTTCTTTTCAGTACGTTCATATACTGGCTAGAAAATAAAGTTACTTTTTACCTTCAATTTCATTTTTTGGTTACACACTTAACCCACACACAAATCTGCCACAGAACCGAAGTTCCTCACTAAGTAAATGAATTGTCAAATCTCCCAATATGCTCAGTTTCTTTATTTTTAAAAATGCAGGGATCAGTATACAATACAAAATCAAGAAGTAAGATCCAAGATTACCTGTGCACCAAGATCCTTCATGTAGGGCCCAAGTTCACTAAATAGATCATATCCTTGATGAAAGAAGGCCAAATGTGCATACATAAAGGATAACATCTAGTAGGGAAAAAAATATTATTTTATAATCTATTTCTCAATAAATATTCCTATTTAATGTTCAAAAATTATTCCAGAAGAACCCAAAGTACAAGTCAATTAAAAATTTAATGAGGTAAGTCATTTTTCTTAAGTCTTTCAAAAATATCTGTAAATGTAACAAAAAATGAATTTCATTTAAGATAAATTTCTCCATAGTTTATTATTTTAACAATTTCTAAAATTTTAGTGGTTTACACTGCATCTATATGATCAAAATATATATAGTAATAATCAAATAAACTTCAATAGTATCATCAATTTTCTAGGTTCATTATGAAATATCTATGTGCTCCTTCAACCAAACGCACTTACAAAAGTTAAATTACATAAATCATTTAAATTACAAGTAAGACATAGAATTAAGGAAAAACTTAAGAGCTCTCCAAATAAGACAATCACAACACACTTTACAACCTACTAGATCAACAAGCACAACTTGAAGTAGGGGGATGCTCTTTTCTTTTTATTCTCAACATACTAAAATGAGTCAACAGACTTGTCCTAAAATGGAGGTTTCTTTATATTCATTCTACAAATCAAAAAATGTCATTAATTCAAGATTCTTTTTCCTCCGAGTTGTCCTCTATTTTGCCTATCCTATGAGAGAAATTATCCTATTTTTGTTAGTTAAGAATTTACACTTGAAGGAATTACGTAATTCAATGCATAATACTGAAAAAATCCTCCAAACATCCATGCTATTTTTAGCAAGAAGAGAGATATGATCAATTCTCTGAAATCCAAAATACCTTAATACTCAAGAATCCACCAAAATGCTTTTTTTCCAAAGTAAAAAACCAATTAAATAAAAAACAAGGCAAATGGCAAGAATCACAAAAAAGAAAAGACTGTTCTGGACTCAGACAATGGTGACGGTTAAACAACTTTGTGAACACAATAGAAACCACTGCCTTGAAAAGAAAAGAAAGAAAAATTAATAGCTATGACTACAAAGAAATGTAAAATATTCCTGTATATCAAAACACATAATAAACAAATTAACAGACAAATGTTAAACTAGGAAATACCTATGGCAAGGACTAATAGTCTTAATACCTAAGAGATGTTATAAACCAGCATGAAAAAGATGAATATTCAAACAGAAAAAGAGACAAAGGATATAAACACGCAGCACAAGACTCACAAAATATATATATATATATATATATTAAAATGTTCAAACTCAGTTGTACTAATGAAATGCAAAACTGAACAACCAGATTGTGTTTTCTATCTATGGGATTAGAGTGGTGAGTAAATGTAATACCCAGTGTTGGTGAAAGTTTGGGAAATGTTCATTCTCACTTATCATTAGTGGAAATGTAAATGGTTGTATAATTTTGAAATTGGACAATATTTTTAATAACCAATAAGTGTTTAAGTTTCTTGACTAAGTAATCCCTCATCCATGAATCTATTCTAAAGAAATAATCAGATTACTCATTAGGATGATCAACAAAATGCTATTTTTTAATGTCAAAAACATAGAAATTACTTAAATATCCATTAATGGGTGAAGTTAATTTATGGTATATTACAGAGGTCAGCAAACTACTACTCACAAACTAAACCCAGCCCGCCACCAATTCCATATGGTCTATAAACTACAGATTGTTTTTACATTTTTAAACAGGTGCAGGAAAATGGAAAGAATGCTATTTCATGATATGTGAAAATTAAATGATTTCAAATTTCTGTATCCACAAAATAAAGTTTTATTGGAATAGTCATGTGTTCATTTACACACTGTATATTGCTGCTCTACCACTTGTCTGTCAGTCTGTCATATTGTGGTGGCTTGTGTGTTGTTGTGAGGCTGGAGGCTATGCCACAGGTATTTCAAATAGCTGTGGACAGGTTTTAGCAGGAGCTTCCAGACTAAGATACATTCAGAAGAAGGAAGAGGCCATTCACTTCTCAAAGAATTGGCCATTGAAAATCTTATGAATAGCAGTGAAACACTGTCTAATATGTTCTAATATATTACTGGAAAACTTCAAAATAGTCCTCAAACAATGTCTGATACAGTGCCAGAAGATGACCCCTTCAGGTCGGAAGGTGCTCAAAATACAACTGGGGAAGAGTTGCCTTCTCAGAGTAGAGCCGACCTTAATGATGTGGATGGAGTAAACCTTTTGGGACCTCCAACTGCTGATGTGGCATGACTCAAAACGGGAAGAAACAGCTGCAAAGACCCATTAATAATCATAACATGGAATATCCCAAGTATGAATCTAGGAAAACTGTAAGTTGTCAAAAATGAAATGGAACACATAAAGATTGATATCCTAGACATTAGTGAGATGAAATGAACTGGATGTGGCCATTTTGAATCAGACAACCACGATCTACTATGCTAGAATGACAAATTGAAGAAGAATGGCGTGGCATTCATCATCACGATGGTTCAAGATCTATTCTAAAGTACAATGATAGGATTACTGATAGGATATCCACACCCCTACAAGAAAGATTAGAAAATACTACTATACTTCAAGTTTACACAACTATCAAAGCCAAACATGAGGAAATTGAAGATTTTTACTGACTTTTGGAGACTGAAATTGACCAAACATGCAATCAAGATGTGTTGATTATCACTGGTGATTGGAATGCAAAAGGTGGAAATAAAGAAGAATCACTGGTAGTTGGAAAATATACTTTTGATGATAGACATAACACTAGAGATTGCATGACAGAATTTTGCAAGACCAACGACATTGATTGCAAATACCTTTTTCAACAACACAAACGATGGCTATACACATGTACTGGACAGAGTACACAGGAATCTGATCGACTACATCTGTGGAAAAAGGCAATGGAGAACCTCAGTATCTTCAGCCAAAACAAGGCCATGAGCTGACTGTGGAACAGACCATCAATTGCTCATATGCAAGTTCAAGTTGAAGCTGGAAACAAGTTTTAATTGTCCACAAGTCCACAAGTCCACAAGAGCCAAAATATGATCTTGATTATATCCCTCCAGAATTTAGAGACCACCTAAAGAATAGATTTAATGCACTGAACACCAATGACCAAAAACCAGAAGAATTGTGGGGTGACATCAATAATACCATTCATGAAAAAAGCAAAAGGTCATTAAAAAAGGAGGAAAGAAGAAAAGACCAAAATAGATGTCCGAAGAGACTCTGAAACTTGCCCTTGCCTTGAATGGAGAGTACCTAAAGTAAATGGAAGAAATGACAAGATAAAAAGTTGAACAGAAGATTTCAAAGAGCAGCTCAAGAAGACAAAGTGAATTATTATAATGAAATGTGTAAAGATCTGGAGTTAGAAATCCAAAAGGGAAGAATACACTCAGCATTTCTCAAGCTGAAAGAACTGAAGAAAAAATTTAAGCCTCGAGTTGCAATACTGAAAGATTCTATGGGGCAAAATATTGAATGATGCAGGAAACACCAAAAGAAGATGGAAGGAATACACAAAGTCACTGTACCAAAAAGAACTGGTTGATGTTCATCCATTTCAGGAGGTGGCATATGATCAAGAACCAAGGGTATCAAAGAAGTTGAAGCTGCACTTAAGGAACTGGTGAAGACCAAGGCTCCAGGAATTGATGGAATACCCATTGAGATGTTTCAAAGCAAATGCCTGTGCTGGAGGCATTCACTAGGCTATGTATGCCAAGAGATCTGGAAGACAGCTACCTGGCCAAGTGACTGGAAGATATGCATATTTGTACCCATTCCAAAGAAAGGTGGTCCCACACAATGTGAAAATTATCAAACAATGTCATTAATATCACATGCAAGTAAAATTTTTCTGAAGATAATTCAAAAATGGTTGCAGCAGTATACTGACAGAGAACTTCCAGAAATGCAACCTGGATTCAGAAGAGGACATGGAAATAGTGGCATCACTGCTGATGTCAGATGGATCTCAGCTGAAGGCAAAGAATACCAGAAAGACGTTTACTTGTGTTTTACTGACTATGCAAATGCATTCAATTGTTTGTATCATAACAAATTATGGACAACATTGAGAAGAATAGGAATTCCAGAACACTTGATTGTGCTCATGAGGAACCTATATGTAGACCAGGTTGTCACTGGAACAGAACAAGGTGATACTACATGGTTTAAAATCAGGAAGAGAGTATGTCAGGGTTGTATCCTTTCATCATACTTACTCAACTTGTATGCTGCACAAATAATCCAAAAACCTGGATTATATGAAGAATGCAGCATCAGGATCAAAGGAAGACTCATTAACAACCTGTGACAAGCAGACGACACAACTTTGCTTGCTGAAAGTGAGGATGACTTACTGATGAAGAGTAAAGACTTCAGCCTGCAGTATGACTACATCTCAACATAAAGAAAATGAAAATCCTCACAAGTGGACCAATAAGCAGCATCACAATAAATGGTGAAAAGATTGAAGTTGTTAAAGATTTCACATTTCTTGGTTCCACAATCAACACCAATGGAAGCAGCAGTCAAGACATCAGATGACATGCTGCACTGGGCAAATCTGTTGCAAAAGACCTCTTTCAAGTGCTGAAGAGCAAAGATGTCTCCTTGAAGACTAAGGTACGCCTAACCCAAGCCACAGTATTTTTAATCGCCTCATAGGCATGTGTTGTTGTTGTTGTTGTTATGTGCCATCAAGTCGGGCACGACTCATAGCGACCCCTCCTTGGGTTTCTGAAGCAGTATCACTACGGAAGTAGATTGCCCCATCTTCCTTCCAAGGAGTGATGAGAGCTGGATAATGAACAAGGAAGACCAAAGAAGAGTTGATGCTTTTGAGTTGAGGTGCTGGCAAAGAATAATGAGAGTACCACGGACTGCCAAAAGAATGAACAAATCTGTCCTGGAGGAAGTGCAGCCAGAATGCTCCTTGGAAGTGAGGGTGGCCAGACTTCGTCTCACCTACTTTGGTCATGTTGTCAGAGGTGACCATTCCCTGGAGAAGGATATCATGCTTAGTAAAGTGGAGGGTCAGCAAAGAAGGGGAAAGGTCTCAACAAGATGGATTAACACAGTGGCTGCAACAATAGGCTCAGGTATAGCAAGGATTGTGAGGCTGGCACAGGACCAGACAGTATCTCGTTCTGTTGTACATAGGGTCACTATGAGTTGGAGCTGACTCAACAGCACCTAACAACAACGTAACAACATATGGCTCCTTTCTCCCTGCAATGGTAAAGTTGAGTAGTTATGATAGAGACTGTATGGCCCACAAAGCCTAACATATTTACTATCTAGCCCTTTACAAAACAAGATTGCTGACCCCTCCCTGGTATATTCATGTGGTAGAATTATACCTGCCCACAAAAGTCATCGTTAAATAAAGAATATTTAATGACACAGAATTATTTTGCAATGTAGTAGTAAAAATTGTAATTAACAAAACAATATAGGAGAATGATTCCTATTTTGTTTTTATAAGTAATTTTAAAAGCTACATATATGTATTGACATATACATACACACAAAGAAGAAAAAAAAGACTCATCAAAATATTAACAGTGATTCTTCCTTAGTACTAAGATTTATAAGTGTTTTCTATATTCTTTTCATATATTTTAATTTCTCAATTTTCTACAATTAATATATATTGTCAATCTGGAAAAAAAGGGGGGGGATAGAGAGTATCTTTTTAAAAACATGGAATACAAAGTACTTACCTCACAGGGTACTATGTGACTACACACACACACAAAAGCTAGGGCAGAGAAGCAAGGATCAAAAGCAGTAAGTATAGCTTTTGTAGGAAAAAATTAGTTCAATGAACAAATCCAAGAACAGCAGTATCAAGATATGAAAGAGTTAAGACACCCAAACACTATCTCCCTCCCTACTTCTTTCTAAATTTAAAGCAAAACATGGACAATAAAAAAATCATTGTCACCATGGGTGTAGAAATTTGGGGGGAAAAAAAGTGATCCCCAAATTTCATCTCATTTGTTTTGTAACTATACAGGAAAAAACAAATCAAAAGGTTAATAAATCACCAATTCTAAAGGAAAAATCCTCCAAATGATACTAATCTTATAAGTTCTCAATCTCAAATATTTTAGTTATACAGGAAAATACAAATACTCTGAAAGAGGCTGAGTGGAAATTTTTTAAAGCAAATACAAAAGAGATAAAATTCAAAATCTAATTTAACAGCAGTTTATTTTTATACATTTCAAAAGAAATTCTGAAATATTCTTATATACATTGACACAAACCATTTCCACTTATTTACGAAACAGTACTAGGACTCTACTACCTATAAAGCATCTTATTAAGATAAAAGAAGATTGAAACAAGACCGCACACAATCGGTCTTTAAGGAGCTCACAGTGCATAAAGAGATGAGATCACATAAATAGCTATAGCATAAGGAAACAAAAAGTAGTTAAGTGATGTAAGTATAAAGATCAATATGCTTTGCCTGCTAACCAGATGGCTGGCGGTTCAAACCCACCAGCCACTCCTCGGAAGGAAGGTTGGGCAATCCTACTTCCGTAGTGATACTGCCT